GGGGGGGGGAGAGGCATCTTCACAAGTGATATTTTTCAGTTCAGCTTTTCTGTATCCTCCTGTTAAATCATGCTTTTCGATATATTTCTGTAAAAACACCAGAAAGCGGCAGGCTGTGCGCTCTGACATTTACTGGAGATTTGACTAGGAAAATTACCCTTCATTTTGTCATCTTGGTGGTCTCCTAACAGGCTGTTATCAGGGGGCTGCACTTTCCAAAGGCGAGAGACAGACCGCAGTGCTCAACACCCTACTTTTCTGCTAGGATTCTGTGTGCCGCTCCCACAGAAAACAGGGGAAAAAAAAGAGCTAACTAAACAGTCATCAAATTTAGCCAGTACTTAACATTTTAGGAATATGACGATTTCTGTCACCGACGTTACCCCCTAATAACAGTGCTCGACAGTGCATCTTTTTTTTGCAGGGAGCAAATTGCTTTGGGTGGGGGTGGGGGGGACATACACGCGTGAAAAACCATGCGGTATTTCAGTATGAAATACATTCAACCCTTTAAACCAAAAGGATCAGACAGCTGGGTAAAACGGATGCTTGTGGCCTCTGATCAGTTTGATTACGACACAAATACAGTTCAGCTAGAGAATGCTAATCCAAATTCTGACTGTCATTCCCATTCTACTGGATAACCCATGTGGCAGACACTCTACCTGAGAGACATACCTGTCAGTCAGCTCTCATGATGCACATGTACTTCACCGACACACAAGCTTAGCTACTGTCCCAAACATCTTTGGGGAAGAGTATTTATTCGGTAAACTTTACGCGCATCACTGATTATACAATCCTGTTGTTAATATTACAGTATAACACTGTCCCAGATATAACAGCTGACAGTAAGATCTCCTTTTCCCCATTGATTGATATCTTCAAGGGCAGAAAGCTACACAATTGACCTCCAAGGTCATTCTCTTACTGCTGATTTTAAGTTTCCATTCAAACCACCCTGCAGATCGTACTTGTATTTTGTTTCTTTTGTTCTTGGGTCTCCAGCCCACAACAGCACACGAGGCCCACGTAAAGACATTTGTTGCCTTCTGCTGGACTCTTTCCTTTAGCCAAACACCAAATGTGTAGAAAAATGCTTAATGTTTCCTCTCCACACAGGAAATTTAGGTGAGACTAGCTCCCACACTTTTCATGACCAACACTGGTGCAAAACAACAAGCGTCACCATGTGGTAAGTAGCAGGGTGGGGTAGGGGGGGCTGGAGACAGACTTGTATAGGGGGCACATGGCGGGCAAGTCGGGATCACAAGGGGGTCAGTGTTAGGGTTGCAAAGGGGTGGGAAATTTCCAGGAACTTTCCATTCAGTTGGAATTAACGGGAAAATTCTGAGGATTTTGCAACCCTAGTCAATGTCCATTCCTACTAGTCAACTGGGGAGTGATGGGGAAATGCACCGCCCACACAGCTATATTGAGGTGAGAGTACTTGAATGTGCTCAAAGGGGCAGCCACTCAGAGCTCAGGGGGAGGGTCTCTGAGAAGCTCTACCCCCACGGAGGTGGTACACATGGTGCAGGATAGAGGAGATAAGAGAAGGGGTTGGACTTGGGGCTCCAGTGCATGGTGCTGGTCCCGGGCAAGCTCACACCCACGCAGGGGCACACAGGCACGCGCTCACACCCACGCAGGGGCACACAGGCACGCACACATACCCACGCACGGGCACGCACACATACCCACGCACGGGCACGCACACATACCCACGCACGGGCACGCACACATACCCACCCACACCCATGCACACATACCCACGCACGGGCACGCACAC